CTATCCATCCTCCACAGATGCCTTATTTCCTGGGCGAGTTCTGTGTACTTGCTAATTTTTTCAGTGCATGTGTTTTGTACATTGTGAGTGTTTGGAGTGGCTATGTCTATAATGTATGTGATTTTATTGTGTTTGTCAATGAGTGTGATGTCTGGTCTGTTGTGGTAAATTGTTTTATCTGGGATTATGGCTCTGTCGTAGTACATTTTGTGCGCGTTGTTTTCCAATACTGTCTGTGGAATGTATTTGTAGTATGGTTTGTGAATGTCTACCAGTTTGTATTTCTTTGCAAGCTCTTGGTGTATTATATTTGCTACTTGATTGTGTCTGTGTAAACAATCTGTCTGTGCCAAGAGCTTCAACCAGAAGTAATGTGTTGTATAGTTTCTGGCATGATGTGACATTTTCTGCATGTGTCATTTGTGAGTGTTGTATCTTTGAGTATGTGTTTTCTGAAGTTTTTAGTATTTATGACCTGATCCTGTATGGCAATCATGAATCCTTCCATCTCCCCAAAGAGGCATCCCCGATCTAACCAGCTGTTTGATGCAGTTTTGTCAACAAAATCCTGGGCCAGGTCATAAGGATGCCTGCCATGGAGTGCCTTTTGAGCCCACAATTGGTTGATGGTATCTATGCTTTTTATGTGTTGTGTCATGTCTGTATGATGTGAGTGTAAGTTTAATGGTATGTTATTTGAGTCTGCTAGAGTTAGTGTTACTGCTAGAGTCTGCTTAGAGTTACTGCAGATGTAACTGTGATGTTTCTTGTTTCTTGTAGAAAAACTCTCACAGTGACTGTCTTTGTAGTGAAGGTTTATAATGTCAATCAGGCCACGTCCGCCATCTTTACGTGGAAGGATTAATCTTTCTATGGTGGATTTAGGATGATGATGTTTATGCTTAGAAAGTGTTGTTCTTGTTTTCCTTTGGAGTTGCTCAAGATCTATGTGAGTCCAATGTATAACTCCAAAAGAGTATGTGAGTACTGGGACAACATATGTATTTATTGTTTTAACTGAGTGTTTTGCATTTAACTGTGTTCTGAGGATAGCATTTAACCTACTTTGGTATTCTTTAATTAATCTTTGTTTTATTTGTGTATGTTTTGTTAGTTTGGCCTGTTGGAATCCTAAATACTTGTAGAACTTGCCCTCTTCCATGGATTCAATAACGTCTCCATTTCCAAGTGCAAAATCTTCTTTCTTCAGGATTCCTTTTTCTATGTGAAGTGTTTTGCATTTGTCTAAGCCAAACTCCATTTGTATGTCCTTGGTGTATGAATGTGTGATTTGTAGGAGTTGATGAAGTTGTTTTTGTGTGGATGCATAAAGTTTTATGTCGTCCATGTACATGAGATGTGAGAGTGTAAACTGTGTTGTTTTTTCATGTCTGATATTGTAGCCATAATGCGTGTTGTTTAACATGTTGGATAATGGATTCAGGGCTAGGCAGAACCAGAGAGGACTCAAGGAATCTCCTTGAAAAATTCCTCGCCTAATGAATATTTCGTTTGTTTGTATGGAAGTGTTACTAACCCTGAGATGTAGTGTTGTTCTCCAGTGCTGCATAGTGTTTTCGAAGAATGCAATGAGTGATGGATGTATTTTGTACATGTGTAGAATATGTAGCAGCCAACTGTGTGGAACACTGTCGAATGCTTTTCTGTAGTCTATATATGCCATGTGTATGTTTCTGTGTTGTTTGTGTGCTTGCCGTAGAATGACTGAATCTATGAGTAACTGTTCTTTGCATCCCCTGTGATTTCTACGGCAACCTTTTTGTTGTTCTGTAAGAATGTCGTGTTCTTCAACATGTTTGTATATTTTGTTTGTGATACAGGATGTCAATAATTTGTAGAGTGTTGGAAGACATGTAATTGGTCTGTATTGTGTGGGGTCTGTGGTTTTGTTGTTTTTAGGTTTCATGTAGGTGATGCCCTGAGTAAGAAATTTTGGCATGTCTTGTGGATTGATGATGATGTGTGTTAGATGTTTAGCTAGTTCCTGGTGCAGTGATGTAAACTTTTTGTACCAGAAATTGTGAATGTTGTCTACACCAGGTGTCTTCCAGTTGTGTGTTCTGTTAACAGCGTAGCGAATGTCGTGTATGTTTATTTCAGCACAGGGCATAGTTGGTATGTTGTGCAAGTTTCTGTTCTCCTCCTCGATCCAGCCTGCATCAGCATTGTGTGTAACAGCATTGGACCAAAGAGAAGACCAATAAGTTGTGAGTTCTTCTTCTGTTGGTGTGCCACTGTGCTGTGTATCAGTGTTTGTTTTGGTACTGATTTGTCTGTAGAAAAGTTTTTCATTGTTTGTGAATAATTTATTTTGTTGTTTTCGTAGTGTACATGTTTTGTATCGTTTGAGTCTACGTGCTTTGGCTGCGAGTTTTTGTTTTAGTGTATCGATGTATTCTGTAATGTGTGTGTTGTGATGTTCATGTTTTGTGTGTGTTTTGATTTTCTTGAAAATGTTTTTGAGTTGTTTCTTTAATTTGGGTGTTATGTTGTTTTTAGTGTATTGTGTCAGCCTGCCTAATTGCTGTCTAATGTCATTTATTTGTGTTTCTATTCTTCTCTGCCAGGCAGGCTTGTGATAGAATTGTGTTTTGTGTGTGTCTGTCTGTGAGTGTATTTTCAGTCCATGGTGTGTTACTACTGTGACTGCCCCAGCATAAACTAATGTATGAATGTCTGAGAGTGTAGAAATTGAATGAATGTAGTTTGGTAGTAAGTGAGTGTTTACATAATTTAGTGTTTTTCCTACTACCTTTGACGTGTTGATTTTCGGTATTCGTGGTCTTTGTGTGGGATCTGTACCTGTATATTTAGTGAGTGTTTCCTGAAATATAAGTGAGAGTGTATTAACTAAATCTATGTCTATGTTATCAGTGATGGATGAGGAAGTGTCTGTAGTATCATTAATGGTAGTTGTTGTATGTGTACTATTATCAATGCTTGTTGCTGGATTATCCTGACAGGTTACGTGATCTTCATTAATGTTAAATGTTTCTGTCTGTTGATGTATTTGATCAGCAACCTGTTGTTTGATAAGTTCAAGTGTTGTTTGTGGGATAAGGTTGTTGTGTATAATTGTTCTTTTTTGATCAACAACCCTTTGTTCGGTGACAGTGAGGTGAGGATATTGTTGTGTGAATCTATGGTGTAGTTGTTGTCTGTATGCTGTCATGTTTGTTTCGAGTCTTGTGATGGTGTAGTAAGTACGGATGATAAACTCGTTCATTTCTGTTGTCCATTTCATCCGTTGGCGTGGTTTTCCAGTTTTTGTGGTCTGTGGATGCATTGCCACAGAAACACCAAGACTAGGTTGGTTCCTCACATCTGTTAAGGGCGTTGCAGTAGCCATGCTTGGGCCGGTGCTGCTTTTGACACCAGTAACCAAGGGAGACTGTGGCCTATTTTTCGAACGTGAGCATCTGTCTAACCCACAAACGCGGTCCTTGTTAACCCAGGCGACGTCTGAGCTGGTATCATACTTAGATCTGGTTACTGCCATGATAAATATCTCCACAGAATAGGAGTGTGGACACTCTTAACTTCATTTCTACCCATAGACCTTACTGGCATGGGTGTCCCTACCAGGAGCTTGTGCTCCAGCCTGCATTGCCCTATGGATCAGTAAAATTATTGGGCTTGCCCACCATGACCAGGTGGTGACCATGGGAGAGTTATTATTATTGAAATGTCATAAAAGATATTTTCATTATTTAACAGTAGAATAAAATCTAATTGTGATACATTAAGGCTAATTAGCTAGTAAGATATTAAGCAGTTTGGCTAAAGAGAGGTGTTAAGAATTCATCTCATGTTAAATTTAATAATTACAAATAAATTAATCTTAATTTAGAATACAACTAGGGGATATTACCCCTAGTTGGCACGGTGAGTATGGTTATATCTAAATTAATTCATTGGTCTGGAAGCGAAGATTGGAAGGCAATCAGAATAGCAATGTATCTGCATGGTAAGCAGGAGTTGCAGGTTCAATTTCATTTCCTGGTAGATTTTTCTTTCAGATTTTCTAAATTAAAATTAATGTATTTTAAATTATTAAATTTAAACATGAGATGATTGTTTAACCACCTACCTCTACGAAATTGCTTAACATCTTATTAATTAATTAACCTTAATATGGTTTGAAAAGAATTGGGCCATTAGTTTGATTAGTAAAGTTTATCGGGTTGTTTTCATGTGTTATTAAAATAAAAATGTTAAAATAGCTTTTAGCAAGTCCAAATATTTAAACAAGATTAAATATTTTTTAAGACATTTAATCTCAATTAAAAATTCAGACCCTAAATATTTTTGCATTTTTATTTTGATTGACACTAAAACTATTAATCTAGTTCAGATATTATTACATTTAAAATTAAATGAAAGAATAGATATTTAAGAACAACATAAATGAAAAATTAAATAGCCTGTTTATTTTAGGAAGCCACAAAATATCTAATAGGGAATGTTTACAGCCATTATTCTGGCTATTCTCATCTTGCCAGGTGCATTGAGCATTATAGAACAACATATTTAAAATATCAAACAGTAGTTTTAGAATCATCAATTCAAGAAATATTTTTAGCTAAAAGCAAATTTATCTTTGTTATAATACTGAAGCCATGCATTAAATTGTAGTAAATGATAATTCAGATGAAAATGCAGTATTGAAATTATCAGCTATGATTAGAAAGAAAACACCAGTTTGTTTGGAAATCATCTAATAAGTATTCTTAAGTAATTAACAAATCTCTTGTGTCAGAAACAATTAAAATCATTTCTGCATTTAAGTTAGGAAAACTCAATATGTAATTATTGCTCTAAATCTGAAGTGACTTTAAATTAGAATTTATAAAAAAAAATAAAATGCTTGCTTTTAAAAGTGTGACTTGGGCAATTCGTGTTTCATCACCACTTATAGTGTGGTTGAGGAACTCATTGTTGTCTATGGTAACACTCCAGAAATAATGTAGCCACTGTGCATTTCGCCTTGTGAACATCTCGTAACATTTCCAGCACCATCAGGCACAAAATTGTTTGTATTGGATGTGCTCCATTACAGTTTCACGGATTACAGAGTCAGAGACAATTGGAAACAGTTCTGCAATTCAAAAATTGTGAAATGCCTGTTTTTCTGACTTTTCCTCAAATCATCCATTATCATAGATATGTTTTCTGCATTTTTCATTGTGAACCTTGTTCTGCCTGTGAATTTCAATAATCTGCCTGTGAATTTTTGACAGATGAGCATTTTTAGTGTTTAAAGTTGTATTATTGATTGCATTTTGCATGTGACAAGATTTTTGATTTTAACATCCATCCTAAACTTAGCAAGTGGAGAAAGTTTTGTGGAATAGTACTATGCTTGTACTTGTTCCACTAAATGTCCAGCAGATAACTGACAGTGAAAGGATGTGTTAGTACTACCAGTGCAGTTGGTCCTTAGTTTCTGGGTGCACTTCATATTATAGAATAAATTCTACAAGAAAATAAAATAGGATAATTGAATTAATCATCTAATTTACTTATCCTATTTTCTTGATAAAAGTAATCTAAGAAATTGCTGCTTTGAGAATCAAAAATAGAAATCCGAAATGAGTATTGTATTAATCCTAAAACAAAGTACTGTACACTAGACTTGCGATAATCCAGCCATTCCTTGCATTGTGGGGTGTCAGATTACCAAAAATGTAAGACCTAAAGGCAGTGAATGATGCAACCTATCACCTTTCAGTACTGTGTTTGTTTGAGACAGGTGGAAAATAGTGTGTGTTAACATGCAATACTGTAAGCAGAAGTTAAACCTGAGTAAACAGGAAAACTCTGGATGTGTGACAAGACTAACATTTTTATAGAAATGGAGGCACATAAGTAATCATATTCAAATTAGGGAATACTGGGTAATTAAGGGACCAGTTTATCAAGAGTGTACTGTAATCATTGATAAGATTTTGTGAAAGTTTGTTATACACCTCATTACTGAAGAAAGTTTTAAGATCCTTATAATAAAAATGTTTTTCATTTTTTTTTTATAGAAGGGAGTTGCCTTTTACGAAGACCCAACATCTTTATAACCCATGGAATGAAGGAAAACAAGTAAAAATTGGTAGAGATGGTCAGGTAGGATAGTAAGATATTCATTCATTGTTTTTATTGCACAAACAACATGTACATCCTGGTCCCGCAGAAAGCATTACCAGGGAAATGTTTACATGGATAAAGTTCAAAGTACATACATAAAATAACAGAATAATCAAATTATAGTAAGATACATTTGAGAGGGATTTCATCATATACAATTCATTTATACGAATCAGTGTCAGGATAGATAAGTTAACATAATAACAATAATTGAAAAATGAAGTACAATAATTAGATTGTGTGAACTCCTTAAATATAATATTACAATTTCATAAATCAAGTAACATAAATACATAGATAACTTTAAATAATAAGCTTATAATGAATCAGCACACCAATGTATATGTATGGAATACAAGTACATAACAATACATAAAGAAAATGTACATGCAATTAACATACTAACAGATAACCAGTCTATAAACATATGTTGATACAAAGAAGTAATATTATACACTCCAAATGTATTAGAATAAACAGTTTCATGACAGTTTCAGGTATATATGCCAAAAGCATACCTTTGTAGTCCTTGTGGGTAGCAGATTCCAAAAATAAAGAATACAGATAGCTGAATTAGAATGCATGAATTAGTGTAATAATAATAATAATAACAAAATGAGGTTTAGGGAGAAGAGTATGTCTGCACAATAATACTCAAATAGCATGTTGACAGTAATCAGCATGTGTATAAATACAATAAACAATTTCATATAAATAACAAATCATTACATCTACAATTAACTTTATAACCCATGCAAATAAATAATATTTACATTAAGACTTACTTCTGACTCAAAACCAAAACAGTGCTTATTTCAAAAATACTTTCACTAACGTTTTTGAACTTAGTTCTTCTTCAGGTGAATACAAGAAACGGGCAGAATCGATGTTATTTGAACTTATCTGTTTCATACGAATTCTGAAACGCCATGTTCTAAGGAAACCGTGCACTGATCGTCTTAAACTTGTGCATGCTCTGTAGATAGAAGGATCACTTTTGGCTTCTCATGTATCATAAATAAGAGTTTGCCATGCTATTGATAAAGATAGTGCATCCTTATTGTTTATACATTTATCTTCTCTTGCTGTTTTATAGATATATATCGCTTCCATCCAGCTGCAGTGGTGTGGTTACTGTGTGGTGTAAATTATCTTTGCCTCTTCAAATAATACTTGCATGTCAGGGTCCGTGGCATATTGTACTAATGCTATAGTATGTCTTTTATGTAGGATGTCTGCTTTATGTTCTTTGATCCTCACCTCCAACGATCTTTTTGTGGATCCCACATATACTAAGTCTTTATCCCACCTATGATCTTTTATAGGGATCCTATATACTCCTGCTAATTTGTTGTGATGTGGAGTATCTTTTGCATTATTTAGCATTCTGAATAGAGTGGGACATCTAAATATTAAGGAGGCTTGCTTTCTCTTGGCGATTTCTTTATAGAGTTTCTCTAAGTTTCTAGAGTTACTCCTATGTAAGTAATCAGGATTCTGTCTTTCTGAATGTTATTTTGCTGCCCTTGTAGTTCTGTTTGTTCTATTCTTCGGGAATGAAGCATTTTTTCGACCCTAGTGGCTATCCTGCTATTACATCCGTGTTTTTTTGGCAATATTGTTAATGGTGTTGATCTCTGTAGCAAGTGCCTGCATTGTTAATGAGTGGATGTATGCTCTTTTCACCAAGCTATTAAATGCCGCTATCTTATACTGCCATGGGTCACATGAATGCACAGGGAAATACAATTGATCTGCCTATGGTTTTCTGTATACCTCTGTGATGATAGACATTCCTTTAACTACGATGTTCACATCTAGAAAATGAACTTGTTTGTCACTCTCCTTTTCGAGACCCAGAGTTAATCCGTACGAGTTGTTATTAAATGCCGCTATGACTGACGTCATGTCCAGTTTAGATTTCCAAAGTATGAGTATATCATCTACATACCTCTTGTATATAATAATATTGTGGAGTAGGTCAGGCAGTACTTTCTGTTCTAGGAGTCTAATTACCAGTTCACATAAATCTCCTGCTACAGGGCTCCCCATTGGTACCCCTCTTTTTTGTTGATATACATTGTTTTCGAATTGAAAGAAAGAATTGTAGCACAATAAATGTGCTAACTCTAGTATATCTTGATGGTAGTTACTGTCCCCTGTTATATTTATTAGCAAATCTCTTAATGCACAGAAGGCTTGTGGAAGGAGTAAAGAAGGGTACAAGGATTAAAATCTAGCTCAGTGAGTTACTGTGGAGGGTATTAATCTGCTTGAGTAGAGCTATGAGGTCAACACTATTGATTATATTGAACTGGTATTCTTCCAAATATGGTGCTATTATATTATGCATTCTCTCTTCTAGTTCGCGTGTAGGAGCATGAATCTTATCTACTACAGGACGAATCTGTTTGCCTTCTTTGTGTGTTTTAGCAAACCCAAATAATTTGGGCGTGTCGGGAGAGTCTAAAACAATGTTATTAATATCTAACCTCTTTGATAACTTGCTGTTAGAGAATCTCTTTATTCTAGCATGTAGTTTTTCAACTATGTTATTGCTGCTTTTCTCACATTGAGTGAGATTGATAATTGAGTGACATTTTTATAAGCTCTCACATTGAAAGCTTATAAAAATGGAGGATGATCTTTACGAACAGGACCCTAATCTGCTAACATATGTCAACGAAAGGATAGTTAATTTATCACAGTCTTACGAGTGAGATTGATGTACTCCACTAGCAATTTCTCGTACGTCTGCTGCTTCATAATTACCATGGTTTTAGCTTTATCCGCTCTAATTAGAGTGATTTCGTTTGCCTTGATCCATCTACGGGCTTTTGATATTTTTGTTCTTAATTCTTTTGAATCCACAGCATTTAGATAGCGGTACAACACAAGATAGCAGCATTTAATAGCTTGGTGAAAAGAGCATACACCCACTCATCAACAACGCAGGCACTTGCTAGAGATCAACACCATTAACAATATTGCCAAAAAACACGGATGTAATAGCAGGATAGCCACTAGGGTCGAAAAAATGCTTCATTCCCAAAGAACAGAACAAACAGAACTACAAGAGCAGCAAAATAACATTCAGAAAGACAGAATCCTGATTACTTACAATCCATACTTAGAGAAACTCTATAAAGAAATCGCCAAGAGAAAGAAAGCCTCCTTAATATTTAGATGTCCCACTCTATTCAGAATCTAAATAATGCAAAAGATACTCCACATCACAACAAATTAGCAGGAGTATATAGGATCCCTATAAAAGATCATAGGTGGGATAAAGACTTAGTATATGTGGGATCCACAAAAAGATCGTTGGAGGTGAGGATCAAAGAACATAAAGCAGACATCCTACATAAAAGACATACTATAGCATTAGTACAATATGCCACAGACCCTGACATGCAAGTATTATTTGAAGAGGCAAAGATAATTTACACCACACAGTAACCACACCACTGTGGCTGGATGGAAGTGATATATATCTATAAAACAGCAAGAGAAGATAAATGTATAAACAATAAGGATGCACTATCTTTATCAATAGCATGGCAAACTCTTATTTATGATACATGAGAAGCCAAAAGTGATCCTTCTATCTACAGAGCATGCACAAGTTTAAGACGATCAGTGCACGGGTTTCCTTAGAACACTGCATTTCAGAATTTGTATGAAACAGATACGTTCGAATAACATCGATTCTGCCCATTTTCTTTTATTCACCTGAAGAAGAACTAAGTTCGAAAACATTAGTGAAGGTATTTTGAAATAAGCACTATTTTGGTTTCGAGTCAGAAGTAAGTCTCACAATTACAATGTTTAAAAAGATTATATAAATAACATCATTGAAAATTAAACATTTCATGTTAAATTCAAATTTGTAAAACTTCAAACCTGAAACAGGTTTATAAAATAAACTGAAAATGCTTGTTATACTAATGTGTTTGCTGGAGATACATAAGGTGTGGACTTTACAGATGGAAAATTGTTATCTAGTAATAATCTTGAAATATCTCCAAATTCAAATGATTTTCCAGGAACATTACTTATTGATTCCAAAAAGCCTGCACTTTTGAACCATGTGAAGTTTTTATGGAATCCATAGTGAAAATTTCTGCATCCAGATTGGTCCTCATATATATTAGGTTAATATTCTTTGTTTGGAATATCCTTGTTAATTTTCTAAAAACTTGCAACAAATTAGAAAAAAAACTGTGGTAGTCAAGAACTCAAAGGAGGAAATTTCTTTTAATAGACTTTTTGCTTTAGCTGCACTTGTTATGGATGAATTATTAGCTTCTTGGTCCAAATGAAAGCACTGATCAGTGCATTTAATGAAAGAGTACATTAATAACTAGCTTAAGCTCATCCATTTTGTGTCAATTACAGTACTACTATAAATTTCATTTCAGTAGTTCAAGAAATGTGTGCTTTTCTTTCAATGTGTTGTCACTTTAGACTCTAATAAAAATATTTGTACACTGCATTGACATTGCATGATATTTCTCAGAGGTCAACAGAGTGATAAGCTTTACTTAATGCAAGTGAGCAATGCAATGAATTGTTGTGATGTGTAGAATCAATGCCTGCAATTTTGTTGTTACTCATTGAGTACAACCTGTCATTACACTGGCTCTATCTGTAGCTATTCCAACACAGTTCTGATAGTCTAGCTGTAGTTGTGTCAAGGTTCATAATAAAATATCATAAATGTTTTCTGCTGTCTCAGCACTAGCTAGTTCCACTATCATTAGAAACTTTGTCTTATTTCTATATATACTTGACATAAATCACAAGAGTTTGTTGACAAGGGTTGTCTGTAGATTTGTCAGTCAGGTCCAAAAATTTTACTATTCTACTTTCATCTAAGACTTCATTCCATAGATTGCTGCTTCCTAGCCAAATAAAATGTGGTCTGAAAACACACAAATATACTCAATATATTAGTAAAAGGAATAAAAATTTACTGA